TTGAGCAGGAGATCAAGTCCCCAAAAATATCATATCAGCCACTTTACAGAACCTTTGATCCTCATTGGCATACCTGCTAAATGACCCGCATCTTTCGTCCACGCCCACAAAATTAACCCACGACCAACTTATGACCCGCGCAGGTCATACAATATTAGTTTTCTTAATTTGCACAACACAACAAGATAATAAAACGAGGTATATTTCTAAAAGATTCAACTGAATAGCTACAGATTTTATCAATGGTACAGGGATCCTTAACCGCCATGCCATATTTTCCAATTCACAACTACAGCTTTGGCAATGGTACGAGGAACCTTAATTACCAATACTTACATGTCACAAAAACCTATTTAAGGCATTCAACATATATAGGCATAATGACAGCCCTCACAGATTGGAAGTCTGGTAGCTCTGTCATGCTTCCCACCATTTCCTATTTAAAATTAAATTGAATTATCCAAAATCTCATTGGTTTTTGTTTTTTACTTGATTAGGAAAATTCAATTCATTTGACTAAAAATCCTTTCTCTAAGATTTGTAGAGTTCTTACATTTATCACTTGGTCTGGGATACATTGAATGTCGGATCATCACCAGGGAATACAAGTCATTTGCATTCTGCCAATTAGAAGGTTCCCAAGAGATGGAAAGTCACACACATTTTAAAAGTTACGTCACAGGGATCTTCATTTGCCAGCTGATATAAGGTTTTATCAGAGAGGTCAATTTGATCCCCTCCTGGTAACACTGTTAATACTAACTATTCAGAGTTAACTGTCAAGTCTGTTATAAAATCTTGGCATTAATTCTTTATAACAATTCATTTAAATACAAATAATAGAAAAAAAGAAATGTATGCCGATCAATAATGTCACGCATCTAACCAGATTTCTGAATAATCTAGAAACCTTGCATTTACATATCAAACTTCCCATTTATTAACTCATTCACCCCGAAAGACACATTTGAACTTTTCCAGTTCAAAGGCTATTCAGAGTTAACTGTCAAGCCTGTTATAAAATCTTGGCATTAATTCTTTATATTCATTCATTTAAATACAAATAATAGAAAGAAAGAAATGTATGCCGATCAATAATGTCACGCATCAAACCAGATTTCTTAATAATCTAGAAACCTTGCATTTACATATCAAACTTCCCATTTATTAACTCATTCACCCCTAAAGACACATTTGAACTTTTCCAGTTCAAAGGTCGGAAATTAGTTCATTATGAAATTCCAGGAGTGAATGAGTTGAGACAGTATTGTACAAATTAGACTGTGTGGTCCTCAATCAAACTTGTTCATGAAGACCCGACTAAACAAATGTCAAACTTATCTTACCAAAAAACCTTCATATACCAGATTTTTAAATGTATATATCATTTGTGAAAGAGTTAGCTCCCGGCGGGCATAAGGACATTTTTTTTACATGCAAATTCCATCAAAAACTATAATTAGAACAAAGTAGAACAAAATTATAATTGCTGCTTTGACTTATCAATATAGAAAAAAGCTTAATTAAAACCAAACCACAGAAGAGAAAAAGATTTGTTTAGGAGAATATTGGATCATTATTTGTCTTATGTCACCCAAACACTATCAAAATTAATCGTCGTAGCCGTCACAATCAAAACAGCTCTCAATAATTCATGGTCGAGCATAACCACCTATACACCTACACATACAACACTGTAACTAGTTATTAAAACGTAAAGCTTGCAATTGATTTGTGAAGGAGATCTCTGTAACAGAAAGAGAACACTGGCGGTATAGGGTCAGTGACGACACGGTAAACTAACAATGGTATGGCATTGTGTTTTTAATGGCTGTAAACCACTACCTATTTGCTTCACTATATAGATGCTATCGCACAATGAAATCATTTTATTCATTCTTAGCGTAACTATACCCATTTCAGCTAAAGGTTTGAATCAGAAATTGAAAATGAAATAATATTATGTACATCAAAGTCTTCAAATGAAATGAATTGAATTGGTGTATTGTATTACATATGAATGTTAAAATACACAGATCACAATATATAACACAACCGGTGGGAACCTTATTATTATGAGTTCAGCTCATATAACAACTTTTAAAATATGAGACCTCCCAGTTGTAAAATGAGACAGAGGTTATACCTGTATCTTTACAGTCCCATCTCCAGGACAATGACAGTTAAAACTCTACCGAGTTCACAGACCAAACCCTTGATAAAACTAAAGATTTGTTTTTGTGAACAAAAAATATGGCTTCCCTTAAATTAACAACCAAAATGTATGTTTGGTTGGCACTTATTTGAGCTTTGACCTAGAGGTAAAGGTCACAGTGAAATAACTCAACACTACAAATGCATACCAGATGCACGCACTGGGATTCTCTAAGTTTCATCAACATATATCCTCAAAAGTTTAGATATAAATTTTTGCACTTATTTGAACTTTGATCTACAGGTGAAAGTCAAAGTAACAGTGGCCTAATTTTGGTCCACAGCACCAGAATGAGAACCAGTACTAATATGTCTCCCTTCATTCCATGTGGAGATGTAAAACTGCCAGTCAGTGCTCTCAACATAAAACCTTTAAAACAAGTGTAAAGCAGGGGTACATAGCTGCTATCCTAAGAAATGCTATCGCACAATGAAATCATTTTATTCATTCTTAGCGTAACTATACCCATTTCAGCTAAAGGTTTGAATCAGAAATTGAAAATGAAATAATATTATGTACAACCAAGTCTTCAAATGAAATGAATTGAATTGGTGTATTGTATTACATATGAATGTTAAAATACACAGATCACAATATATAACACAACCGGTGGGAACCTTATTATTATGAGTTCAGCTCATATAACAACTTTTAAAATATGAGACCTCCCAGTTGTAAAATGAGACAGAGGTTATACCTGTATCTTTACAGTCCCATCTCCAGGACAATGACAGTTAAAACTCTACCGAGTTCACAGACCAAACCCTTGATAAAACTAAAGATTTGTTTTTGTGAACAAAAAATATGGCTTCCCTTAAATTAACAACCAAAATGTATGTTTGGTTGGCACTTATTTGAGCTTTGACCTAGAGGTAAAGGTCACAGTGAAATAACTCAACACTACAAATGCATACCAGATGCACGCACTGTTATTCTCTAAGTTTCATCAACATATATCCTCAAAAGTTTAGATATAAATTTTTGCACTTATTTGAAATTTGATCTACAGGTGAAAGTCAAAGTAACAGTGGCCTAATTTTGGTCCACAGCACCAGAATGAGAACCAGTACTAATATGTCTCCCTTCATTCCATGTGGAGATGTAATACTGCCAGTCAGTGCTCTCAACATAAAACCTTTAAAACAAGTGTAAAGCAGGGGTACATAGCTGCTATCCTAAGAACCAATGACCAATGTGCACATGTTATATTTTATCTTTTCAGTTCCAGTTGGGTCCCTACTTACAGATTGTTTTTATAAAGAAAAATATTGAGGAGAACAGAGGTGCCCAAACCGTCTTCTATAAAGCTTTATCGTTTTCTTTTAAACCAGTTTGCTAACAGCTCCTTAACAATTGTTCCCAAAGCCTAAACTCTTTAACAACTAGTATGGCCACAGAGTTAAAGTTTCCGTAAATTAAGAATGACTGATGTGACCGTAGCAATTATCACTCCACAAGCAACAACATGTAACCAAAATGTACATGTATCTATGGTAAAAGAAGACCAATATGATTAATGTATGGCATGTAACCATGGCGATTGAACTATATAATTAAGGTATAACATGTAAACATGGTGATGAAAGATCTATATAATGAAGGTAAGACATATAACGAGGCGATTAAAGACCCATATAATTAAAGTAAGGCATGTAACCATAGTAATGGCAAACCTATATAATTGAGTTCATTGCAATGGAAGATCTATATGATTGAGGTAAGGTATGTAACCATGGCGATGGAAGACCTATATAATTGAGGTAACGAATGTAACTATGGTAATGGAAAATCTATATAATTGAGTCCATTGTGATGGAGGAACTATATAATTGAGGTAATGAATGTAACTATGGTAATGGAAAATCTATATAATTGAGTCCATTGCGATGGAGGAACTATATAATTGAGTTAAGGCGTGTAACCATGGTAATTGAAGACCTTTATCTTTGAGTCCATTAAGGTGGAAGACCTATATAATTGAGTCCATTGCAATGGAAGATCTATATAATTGGGGTAAGGCCCATGACCTTGCCAATGGAAAACCTTTATAAGTGAGTCCATTGCGATGAAAGATATATATAATTAAGGTAAGATATGTAACCATTGCAATGAAATACCTATACAATTGAGTCCATTGTGAGGGAAGATCTATATAATTGAGGCAAGGCATGTAACCATGGAAATGGCAGTCATATATGATTTATAATAATAATAATAATTTGAGGTTCTTATATACCGCTTTATCACAACCTAGTTTGTAAGTCGTCTCAAAGTGGTTCACAAATTATTATCCATATATAAGTTTAAGGGCTTTTGCAACCAGCCAATATCTTTCTCAACTCCCTGGGGAGCATACAGCCGGAGCTGCCATTTCGATACTCACAGCTAGTATTCAATAATTCCAGCACTGCCCAACCACGTACTCATTTACAGCTGAGTAGACTGGAAGAAGCGGATAAAGTTTATTATTCAAAGATACAACAGTGCCATTATATGACTCAAACCCGCAACCCTTCAGTCACGACCACTAGACTGTCGTGCCTCCTAGGTAAGGCATTTTACCATGGTGATGGAAGACCAGCATAATTCATGTAAGGCGTGTAGCCACAGCAATGGATATACCTTTATAATTAAGGTAAGGCATGTAACCATGACAATGTAAAAACCAATATGATTAAAGTATGCATGTAACCATGGTGATGAAAAAACTATTTATTGTAACCTGATAATGGTGATAAAGAACCTACATAAAACCTTAATATTTGAAATAAAGATTAACACTTACCTGAGATCTTTGTTTATAGTGTCATAAATCCAAAATCCAAAAGTTCACCGAATATTGTTTCATATAAAACTGACACTGCAAAAGAAAAAGAAATCTGAGAAAAGTTTTATTTAAAGATGACCAATCTTTGAGGTGAATGGAATGTATGCATACACTGTTGATGATGAGTATCCCATCGTTATTAAAACATCAGTGACCTAGTCTTGATTACAGTCACATCACAGAACCAGCGTGACTTCATCAGGTGTATTACACACCCAGCAGCTGTAGCTACAAGCTAAGGAAGGTCCGGCTTGTCCAGTTATTATCATAATCACTGGTCAATATATCTCCTTCCATTTACTGTTCAAACTTTCCGGTCAATTTGCCTTTTGTATTTTAAATCTCCAGTGCGTTCTGTCCAGTGATCATCGAACAACACATTTCTCTATTAAACACTAAACTGTTGAAGTTGAGTGCAAAAAAAAAATCAATGTTTCACTGGCTTGCTGCTCAGATGCTATTCGGCCTGCAGGATTCCTCCTCAGTGGCGGCTCGTTTCCAGTGATTGACATAGAGACAGGGTATGTACCATGTAAGGCAGGTAAAAATTGTGTCAACACACAAACTAGCAGGAATGCTCGTCAACATATCATGATGGTAAACAGCTGTAACTTCATTGTGTAAAACCTCTATAACGAACTCGACGAATGGTCAACACATTTGTCTATTCACTTCTAAAGCAAACATTTGGTCTAGCTTAATCTAAAGACTCGGAATAGATTTGATAATGAGATCTCGTTAATTATACATTTATAGATGGTCTACCTCAGAAATCAGACCTCAGTTTTCATGAAAGCTTTCCAGAATTATAATGAAAGATTAATTAATCATTTCAGTGTTTAAATAATATACCTTTTTAGCTATACCAGGTGTTTTTTTCTTTAATAGCATACTTTATTTCAGGGATCACTCAGACCACAGATCAAAATTAATTGACCATAGGTCATAGAAGAACCACTTTTCACAGGTCAAATCAAGGTCACTTTTCACATAATGGCAACTTTTTTTCTTCAGTTTGATGATAAAATCTCAAAAGTGAAAAAATGATGATGACTACTTAAAATATTTTAAGCATTTAAATTACTACTAATTCAACAAACCTGAATTAACTAAAAATGCCAAAACTCCACAGACAAGAATTCCACGCAAGTGGATGTGTCGCCTGCGCAGGAAGCTGGGAGAGTTTTAAGGAACTTGCTATGGATACTCATTGTCTCAATTCCAAGTTTTATTTGTATGATTTGTCGGATGGTTTCCCATAAATAAATGAATAAACTTGTGGATTATGATGCTAAACAGCTAATGTTGTCTATAACATTTGGAGTAAGACGGCATTTCAGAGGTTTACACGGTGGGTCAAGTGGTAGATCGAAGCCGTCCAGTATACAGTTTTAGTGAAGTTTCTATTTATAGTAACAGTGACCTTGACCTTTGACCTTCGGACCTGAAAAGCAATCCCAAGCAAGCACTTTTGGTAAGAAAGCACTGCATGAGATTTGAGTTTGAACGGCCCAAGGAAACTCAAGTTATCGCACGAAAACAGATTTTCTATTTATAGTAACGGTGACATTGACCTTTGACCTTCGAACCTGAAAAGCAATCTCAAGCAAGCACTTTTGGTAAGGAAGCACTGCATGAGATATGAGTTTGATCGGCCCAAGGAAACTCAAGATATTGCACGAAAACAGATTTTCTATTTATAGTACCAGTGACATTAACCTTTGACCTTCGAACCTGAAAAGCAATCCCAAGCAAGCACTTTTGGTAAGAAAGCACTGCATGAGATTTGAGTTTGATCGACCCAAGGAAACTCAAGTTATCGCACGAAAACAGATTTTCTATTTATAGTAACAGTGACATTAACCTTTGACCTTCGAACCTGAAAAGCAATCCCAAGCAAGCACTTTTGGTAAGGAAGCACTGCATGAGATTTGAGTTTGATCGGCCCAAGGAAACTCAAGTTATCGCACGAAAACCTCTGTTCGGACGACGCCGACGCCGACAAAGCAATACGTATGTGTCACCAGCTTTTCGCAGGCGACACAAAAACCACTGTAAAGATATAATGGTCAATTTTACATCTGGAAGCCTGTTGTTTCTTGAAGCATTGACTCTCAGCTACCAAGGAGTGTGAAGGGAGTTCTATAGTAACCCAAGCTGGTATGATCTAGATGAATATTGTATTCAATAGATATCTGTCAATGTATTTAATATATTCATATATCACAGTAATAACTATATAATTATGCACAGTGCAATGTTATTACCCTAAACATCTACGGTCACCATCAAATATAACCTAGTCCCCTGAGCAATTTACATGTAATTAACACGCAAATAAATAATTAGTCAAAACCACATTTGACATAATTAGTTTCTGCATATCACATTCATTTTCTATTTATACCTTAGTAATCCCTGGCTATAGTTACTGTAAAGGCTGACATTTTTGTGGCTAGAACATCTTTGCGTATAACCCAAATAAATTCCTAGGCACATTGGAGTTCATTATACACATTCTTACTGCCACAGTTACACAACATCAATGAAAAGATATTTTAGACATACTACTCTCTTTCTGGGAATCGTGTTACTCATATATGTGTACCAAAGTTTCTTTTCCCCTGATGGAGCATAAGATCGTTATCTGCAGTACCAAACCAACAATACATAAAAATACCATTTCTAGCTGTATTCATATAAAATACCTCTCCGGGATATAAAGTTTTGATTAAGAGTAGTAGGTCCATGGTATAGGGGATTGTGTACAGTGGCTAAAAATACCATGTCACCTCAATCGGATTTAATTTAGCCCTTTCACCACTGTAGACCATAATGCAACCCTCCATATCCATGCATGGTAGAGTCTACTAAAGTTACATAGGGGTGAAAGGGTTAGCTAGTATAGATTAATGATAGTATTTTATTTAATTAGCCTCCCTATTGGTATATTTTGAGTTTCTAGCCCCCCTTTTGGTATATTCTGAGCTTCTAGCCTCCCTATTGGTATATTCAAATAAAAATCCAGAAATATAACAATGTAGTTAAATATCACAACTACATTTGATGGATAAAATGAATATCTTGTACAGAAATACAAGGGCTTCTTAAAGATTTAGCACAAATTAAAAAGGAAATTAGAATTGAAGCCAATGTATATAAATTCCACAATTTTCAAATGTTTAAAGTAAAAAAAGAAATGACACACATATCTGAACTTTCTAAAATGTTTAACACGTAGCTATATGCATGCAATCAAAACATACCCAAGACCTAGATTCTGCAGAAAGTTATGGACACTAGCAAAGTTCACCTCATCGACTTGTACCTACCAGATAATTTGATGTCAATATTTATCCATCCTCGTACATAATAACCCAATAGTACTACTATAGCTTCACCATACACAACTTACTACGGCAGCAGCAGACAGCTTCAAGCCTATGTATCTCAGGCGAGCAACGATGAAGAACAGTACTGCGTTATAATGACACACAAGCCCCACCTGACGGAGAAAATTACATCACTACCTTGACGACAAAAATGATTTCAAGTCAGTAATATTGTATGGCAGATTGTTCCTGCAGTGCCTGTAATCTGTAATCTCAATCAGCCAGTCCCTCTAGTCATATGGTTCCATGTATCATAGTCTGGTTCTGATGACTTTCAGTAATATTAATGTTCATCTGCTCAGCGCTGTCCCATTTCCCTGTTTGCTCTCCTACATAATGTAAATCAGGTACAGAGTTATGACTTTATAAAACACGGTTGTCTATCATCCCTTCATATAAACGTACATATTTACCTGGGAAAACTATATCAGTGCTCACCTGAGCATGAAACTCAGGTGAAATCAACGTACCTTTATTCAGATTCAACAGCATTCACAATATGTCTAAAACTGAATCCTTCAGAGGGTCACGCTATTATTTTCACATCTCTTGATAGATGTTTACAAAACAGTGTCAGACTCATAGTATAGCAAATATTTACACACACAAGCATTGTGAAACAGCTTTGATATCTTTAGAGATACATGTATTCATTGTTTGTTTTTATTTATTTACCATGTGAAAATACAGATGCAAAATAACACTTATCATATATCACGATCTTATATATAACGTCTAGCTGTTACACAGGTATATATATGATAGAGTATTTGATAATTTTTAAACTGTTGAATTATTTTATCCTTTTAAATCCATCATTAATAATGCACAAACTTTGATTGATAATGTGCAAACTTGAATTAATAATGTACAAACTTTAATTGATAATATACAAACATTAATTGATAATGTATAAACTTTAGTTGATAATGTACAATCTAGTAACCTTGTCTTCATTAAGAAACTTAAAAAGACTTTATCATGAAAAAGTAATAACCTAAACTCGACAAAAGCAGAAACCATGACTTTATTAAGGATGCACTATCCATGAGATATATGATTTTATTAATGAGGCACTAACCATGAGATACATGATTTTATTAATGATGCACTATCCATGAGATGATTTTATTAAGGAGGCACTAACCATGAGATATATGATTTTAATAATGAGGCACATACCATGAGATACATGATTTATTAAGGAGGCACTTACCATGAGAAGGCAATAAAACAAGGACTAATAAATAAATAAGACAGAAACCTTGACCTCAATAAGAATGCAATGGCTAAAACTTAATCAAGGCAAAAACCACGACTTATTTAACAAGCAAAAGTAACAATGAATTATTATGAATGGGACTAAAATTGAAATGAATTTATTACAAAATGTAGTACATGAAGATGAAATTTAATATTATGAAGTCAGTTACCATGAATTTATTACAAAAGGCAGTATAACCATGAATTTATTACAAAAGGCAGTATAACCATGAATTTATTACAAAGGGCAGTATAACCATGAATTCATTACAAAAGGCAGTATAACCATAAATTTATTACAAAAGGCAGTATAACCATGAATTTATTAAGAAGATACGGTAACCATACGATGACTTATAAGAAAATTACAACTATGCATCCAATATTGAAGGAGACAGCTGTAGTGGTCAGCCAAATGGCCAGTGCTGGTCCCCTAGTGCTGTTTTCCTGGTCATCATTACCTAATACTGACTGTCTGGTTCTGTACATATTTATTATCTGTATTTATTTGTCAGACTACACAGTGAATAGTGTGCACCTGTCTCCGTGTCTGTCAGACCAGCTCTGAGTAAGCTTATCACAGTAATAGTGAGCACCTGTCTCCGCGTCTGTCAGACCAGCTCTGAGTAAGCTGATCACAGTAATAGTGAGCACCTGTCTCTGCATCTGTCAGACCAGCTCTGAGTAAGCTGATCACAGTAATAGTGAGCACTTGTCTCCGTGTCTGTCAAACCAGCTCTGAGTAAGCTGATCACAGTAATAGTGAGCACCTGTCTCCGTGTCTGTCAGACCAGCTCTGCTAATTTGTGTAATTCCTTACCCAAAGCTTGTCATTATTTGACATTATTAGCGTGTAACAGTAATTAATTTTACTAACAGATTGTTTTAGTCTGACCCCCTGAGTAAGCTGATCACAGTAATTAGTAGCATCTTTATATTCTGTGAACTCTGACTGAGTAGCTTATCATTCAATCCGATTCCGTGTGTAGTTTGGTGTATATCATCTGGTTAATTCTACAGCATTATAATAACCTGTCTAATCTGAAACCATTACCTCCCATGATACACTTCAATACCATAACATCTAACATTCTACTCAACAAAGTAGCATGTACATTAGAAGAGGCCCAGAGGGCCTGTATAGCTCACCTGGATATCTAAGCAATTATGGCAAAATATTCTCCAAATGAGATCCAAGGGAATATGTAGCACACTGTATTAGATTTTTCATGCCCAGCAATTGTATGTATGGTTATGGGGTGGGAATCTCAACTGTTTCCAAGCTGTGACTCAGAAACTAGGTCCCTAGGGTTGTGGCCAGACCCGAGGATCAATTCTAATATCATGACTGCATTCGTCTCTTTTTGCCCATCATTTGTATTTATAGTTTTGGGGTGGGGATCTCAACTGTTTTAAGTTATGACCTAGGGGTTAAGTCTGCAAGGGTGGGGCAGACCCTGGGGTCAATTCTAATATCATGACTGCATTCATCTCTTTATTCCCAACAATTGTATATATGATTATAGGGTGGGGATCTCAACTGTTTCAAAGCTGTGACTAAGAAACTAGGTCTGTAGGGTTCAGTCAGACACCAGGGTCTATTCTAATATCATGACTGCATGTTTCTTTATGCCCAGCATTTGTATACCTAGTTTTGGGGTGGGGATCTCAACAGTTTTAAAGTTATGACCCAGGGACCATGTCTCCAAGGGTGGGGCTAGACCCTAGGGTCAGCCTGGAAGCAAATGTGCATTCTTCTCTTTATACTCAGCAATTGTATATATGATTATAGTGTGGGGATCTCAACTGTTTCAAAGCTGTGACTAAGAAACTAGGTCTGTAGGGGTTCAGTCAGATGCCAGGGTCTATTCTATTATCATGACTGCATTTGTCTCTTAATGCCCAGCATTTGTATACCTAGTTTTGGGGTGGGGAGCTCAACGGTTTTAAAGTTATGACCCAGAGACTATGTCTCCAAGGGTGGGGCTAGACCCTAGGGCCATCCTGGAAGCAAATGTGCATTCTTCTCTTTATACTCAGCAATTGTATATATGATTATAGTGTGGGGATCTCAACTGTTTCAAAGCTGTGACTAAGAAACTAGGGCTGTAGGGGTTCAGTCAGATGCCAGGGTCTATTCTATTATCATGACTGCATTTGTCTCTTAATGCCCAGCATTTGTATACCTAGTTTTGGGGTGGGGATCTCAACGGTTTTAAAGTTATGACCCAGAGACTATGTCTCCAAGGGTGGGGCTAGACCCTAGGGCCATCTTGGAAGCAAATGTGCATTCATCTCTTTATACTCAGCAATTGTATATATATGGTTATAGGGTGGGGATCTCAACTGTTTCATAGCTGTGACTAAGAAACTAGGTCTGTAGGGGTTCAGTCAGAACGGTTTTAAAGTTATGACCCAGGGACTATGTCTCCAAGGGTGGGGCTAGACCCTAGGGCCATCCTGGAAGCAAATGTGTATTCTTCTCTTTATACTCAGCAATTGTATATAGGGTTATATGTTGGGGAACTGAGCTGTTTCTGTTTTTGGCCCCACCTCTTAGCCCGTGTGGTCATTCCCACCATTTGTACGATTTTGAATCCCCACCACTTAGGGATGCTTCCAGTCAAATATGGTTGATATCCATCTCTTAGTTCCAGAAAAGTCGTTTACAGCAATTTAGCCAAATTGACCCCTTTTGGCCCTGCCCCTCAGCTTCCAGTCAAATATGGTTGATATCCATCTCTTAGTTCCAGAAAAGTCGTTTACAGCAATTTAGCCAAATTGACCCCTTTTGGCCCTGCCCCTCAGCTTCCAGTCAAATATGGTTGATATCCATCTCTTAGTTCCAGAAAAGTCGTTTACAGCAATTTAGCCAAATTGACCCCTTTTGGCCCTGCCCCTCAGCTTCCAGTCAAATATGGTTGATATCCATCTCTTAGTTCCAGAAAAGTCGTTTACAGCAATTTAGCCAAATTGACCCCTTTTGGCCCTGCCCCTCAGCTTCCAGTCAAATATGGTTGATATCCATCACTTAGTACCTCAGCCCCTTTGGGGGTCAGCCCCACTATTTGTACAATTTTGATTCCCCACTTCCCATGGATGCTTCCGACCAAATATGATTGATATCCAGTGCATAGTTCTACAGAAGAAGTCGTTTACAGCAATTTAGCCAAATTGACCCCCATTTGGCCCTGCCCCTCAGCTTCCAGTCAAATATGATTGATATCCATCACTTAGTACCTCAGCCCCTTTGGGGGTCAGCCCCACTATTTGTACAATTTTGATTCCCCACTTCCCATGGATGCTTCCGACCAAATATGATTGATATCCAGTGCATAGATCTACAGAAGAAGTTGTTTAAGGCAATATAGCCAAATTGCTCACTTTTGGCCTAAGCCCTCAGCCCCCAGGGGGGTCAACCCCACCATTTGTACAATTTTGAATCCCCACCACTTAGGGATGCTTCCAGTCAAATATGGTTGATATCTATCTCTTAGTTCCAGAAAAGTCGTTTACAGCAATTTAGCCAAACTGACCCCTTTTGGCCCTGCCCCTCAGCCCCCTGGGGGGTCAGCCCACCTTTTGTACAAATTTAAATCCCCATCACCTTGGGATGCTTCCAGTCAAATTTAGTTCAATTCCAATCCGTTGTTAAGAAGAAGTCGTTTGAAGAAATTGTTGACGTATGGAAGACGGATGGACGGATGGAAGGACAACGGACGGACGACTGACGACACGGTATGGCATAAGCTCACCTTGGTCCTTCCAACCCGGTGAGCTAATAAACTGTATAGCTGGTAATCTTTGTTGCTGATTGAAATTTTGCTATGTTTGCGGTCACCAGTAATTATGACCTCTGTGAATATATATTTCTGACCCAAAAACAAAAACCTCTTTATCCGATTAAAGCTGAATAATGAAGATAAAAACAATTTCAGTACTGTGTTTTACTATCACACAACAGCTATATAAATCCCATCACCTTAATTCCAAAGCATCCTTGGAAGCACGATCAAGGTTTTTTACTGTCCATGTTGCATGGAACTGGTGCTGATCAGGAGTACCACGAAATAT